ATAGATAGATAGATAGATAGATAGATAGATAGATAGATAGATAGATAGATACTTTATTGATCCCCAAAGGGAAATTCAACAGTCCAATAGGACAAATCTAAAGTAAACAAATAAACCCACTTCTAACAGTTTCCTGTTGTAACTATATATCTTGTTTTGCTATCATAATTTGCATTAACAAACCTTTTAATGTGTTAATATTTGAGGGCATAGTATTGTACAGATTGTGTCTGGCACAGCTACTGCTGCTCTGTGTTATAATAATCGATGTCTGGGAAATGCAAGTAAGTGGTATTCCAAGTATGATTGGTTTCATACTTAATTGGCAACGTCACGAAGTAAATCTGTCAATTCTTTAGACACAATATGGAGTAATTGTGTGAAACTATTCCACAGGCTACAATGAGGTTAAAGTGTGATTACTGTAATCACATTACTGTACATTTTTTTAATGACTCTATGGCCTTTATGTGTGTGAAAAGATTTAATAGAAAAAACTGTTTCATTTGATCTGTTGTGTAAATGCAGTTATTTATCTTCGAAAGAGGTTGGAACATTCTGAGAAAGTCCATCTGCGGGTGCATCTGTCAACACACATCGATTACATCTGGTTTATCAGTAACTTTTCATTCTTTGAAAAACAAGTGACTTCGTCTTTAGTGAAAGGTGGGAAGTTTGTATAGCATTTTACTTGTATGTGTCTTTTGTGACTGTGTTCACTTTTTCTGGTCCTTTGACCACAAAATTAAGTTTTCATTAAGGAACAACTGGGTAAGGTAAGATCCTAAGTTACTATGCATCTGTGAATAACTGCTGACCTATTGATATTTCACTGTAATTCATTATACCTCGTGGCAATCAGTATATTTTGGAATTTTTGTGGGTGGTATTTGTTTACAGAAATAATCATCTGTTTTTTTTTAACCAAAAAAAGTGGTTTTTTAATTAGTTTTGCTGGAATTAGCTAATTTACTGTATTTAACAGGAATAAAATTAGCTTTTACTTGTAGGGTGGGTCACAATCATGAAATTGAGCTTTATGAGTAAGTTACTTAAACGGCTAAATTGGCAAATATCTGAGATAATCAATTGTGTTGTCTCATTATTTTCACTTTCTTCCATTATTATTCTTTATGTCTGAGAACAGCTTAATAGAGACATCCATTTTCTGACACAGGGAGATCCATTTAGCAAACAATAACACTGGCACAACGTATGAAATATATTTCATATGACAGAAAAAAATGAACTATGGATGGTATCTATCAAAGTTTTTTTTTTTAAATGTATTGAATAAGCACTTTCACTGCAAATATCACAAAACGATTCCTCTGCATAATGAAGCTCATCTTGTGGATTGTCCAAAGCCAACCTGCAGCCATGCAAAATTGATGGCATTAATGCTAGTGAATGCTCATTGAAATACTGTTTTCAAGTGTACTAATTTAATAACCTAATTTTTCAGAATTCAGCTCAATTGTTAGCAAATGCTGTAGAGTTTAAGGCAGCCAAACAAGATCACTGTGAAAATAAGTGCTGGAAAAATGTTTTTAAATAGTGGGTTAAAACCAGCTGTTCTACAAATTGATAAACAATTTTATACTGAAAAAAAATACTCTGATGCTTTGAAATTATTCATAAACAAGCCATGATTAAACAGTTATGAGGTGGTAAGTTAACCCTCTTTGTTGGATAGCTGACCAGGTTTTTACCCAGTCTTTTTTTAATATGCATTTATCTTGTGCGTCATTCTTCATTTAAAATATTTTTCTCTCTGACTTTTGTACAATGTTTGACCAGGAACTTAAGTTAAAGAAAAGTTGCATTCCCTTCATTTTTGCACAATAATCTTTCTGGTACAGATGGAAAATCCCAGCCTCCTAATGTTGCTTTTGCGAGATGGAATAATTGTATAAGATGAGAGCGAAAGACACAAGGGAGTGTGCAGGGAGCTAAATGGATCACGCTGAGATTGCTGATTGCTCTCTTGGGACGCGGATGGGAGGGTCTGTGCCAGGAGAATTCAGGCAGATGGGATGAGATGGGATGGGATGGATGTTGTCAGACATGCTGTGGTTTATGAGTGTTTATGAGTGTATCCTATGCTACTTTTTTGCATATGCAGTCAGTTCAAATGGGATTTACACAAGAGCTAGCATTCATATATACAAAATTCACTCCAACTAATTTGACTCATCTTCTTGTGAATTAAGTTGATCTTTAGTTGGTATTTTCATAAAGCTGAAAATTATTGCAGCTATATTTAATGGACATGATAGTACAAATAAACGTAATGCAGTTTTTTGTGAATATTTTTAGATGTGTAATTCATGTGTAATGAACTATGTAAAGAAATATAAAATTACATTGATTGCAATGTAGAAAAAGATCATTTCTGACCCTAAAAAGAGCATGAAGGCATCATCATGCAATTCCAAAACCATCTTAAAGCAGCATTATGTTCACAACAATTTCCAAGATAATGCTGCCTTTAAGTTCACACGACTGCAGCATTGATTGATCCTGAGAGGCAATTGCAACGTGAATGTTTCCGACAGACATTCCGCATACTGGTATTGCCAAAAATTGTGTTTGTGGGAGAGCAGGTGATCCCTGGAACGCCTGTGTGTGTGTCTCGGTGAGACAATGCTTGAGGCAGATGTTGCTTTAGCCAAGACGGGCTGGGAGTCTCTGGGCAGGGCAGGGCTAACGGGGCAATGACATCATCCAAAGAGAGGGAGAGATGGACTGGGGCACGCGAGCGATCTTGCCTGGAGCAGCGAGAGGGAGCGGGGCAGTTCAGACGGAGGGGAGAGAAGGCATGAGAGGGGGACAGTGCGGGTTCCAGAGCAGGGAAGTGCGTATGCCGGAGCACAAGAGAACCCCACACTTCAAGCAGACCCTGACAAGGATATAGGACTTGGTCTGGAAGATATACTCCTTTGGTTCTTTTTTATCTTTTTTTTACCCCCTTTCCCCTTCCCCTCCCCTTCCCTTTTCCCTTTTCCCCTCTGTCCTCTGGCAGCTACCCCCCCTGTCAGCTCCTGCTTCGTGAGGCTCCTCCGGGCATGCTCCTTAAGCCAAAGTATGGCCGCTTTCGCAATGAGTCTGTGACCTCCTCCTCCGACGACCTGATGCAGAGCCTCGCCATGAGCAGCAAAGTCGTGGCCACGCCGGTGGTGGGCTCCGGCCCCCCGAACCTCCCCCTCCCTCCCCTGCCTCCTCTGGACCCCGGCTCCAGGTCCTCCTCCTCGGCCGGGGCCGCGGCCCTGGCGGACTCCCCCAACCTGGACGGGGAACAGGAAGTCACCACAACCTTCTGCATGCTCATCCCCAAGATGCCCCAGTGGAAGTTTTCCAACTCGCTGCTCAGCCGGAGCCCGTCGAACTCCAGTTCCAGCACCAAGGACTCCAGCAAAGCCCCGATATCTTCATCTTTTAGGGCCGGCGGTGGACCACCGGCCAGTGGCCCGGTGGCCAGCCTGGCAGCTGTCCTGAACTCCTGCGACCCGGTGTGCGTAACCCCCTGTTCCCTGCAGGCTATCCGAGGGCAGAGAGCGGTAGTAGCGGCAAATTCGCAGGGATTCGGTGCCGCCGAAATTACGGCCAGCCCAGGTTCTTCGGGCGGCTCCGGATCGGGACCGAACTGCCGAACTAGGATAGACGGTGTGTGTCTGGGCGGAGAGGAGTTCAACCAGAAGGGCAGCTTCATCCACAAGCCCTCTCAAGGCTGGCTGCACTCCGATAAGAAGATCGCGGGACAAGGGGCCTCTTACATCGTCAGGGTAAGCCAACGGGCAGCTTTTTTAAAAAGCATACAAATTAGAGAAGGTTAAAGATCAGTTCAGTTAACGTCTTCCCAGGTGCTGATCGATAGTAGTCCTCTTAAGGGTTTCTTTGTCAGGGTGGGAAACAAAGGAACACCTCTTTAAGCAATGGGTTATTCAGCTCATGTGGCAAGGACAAGGGGAATACGTGATTTAATCCATATAAATGGATTTGGGGTGGCCGATTGGCAGACTGCAACGGGACTGCACACGGGGATCAGGGTAGAGAAAGATTCATCATTAAAATGACATGCATGGTCCGCAGTGTTTGTGAAAGGTAGCATTCATCACACTGCACTAAAAACAACAACCAGTTGTTTTCATGAGGCATGCCACCCATGTCTGTGTGCCTTTAGGATTGTTTATGTTTGCGGTAAATACATATGATTTAATGTTTTATGCATAGATTTGGATTACATACTCCATTGTGAATAACAGTGTAACATATATAGTAATTTATTATATATATATATATATATGTAAATGAAAGTTTTCAATAATTCTCTTATCTCTTGTCTCATTGTTTGACCTGTGGTGATTCTTTTTCTAAATGAATGGGTGACTGGAAGTGGAGCAGATAAATCAGTGTTCTTCATCTGTGTTTCAATCAATTGTGTTTATGAGCGGTTGCCATTCAAAGGAAACTGCATGATGTCCGTGTCGTCCTTCCCCCGAGCATCCCCCCATGATCGTTCACCTCTGCTACTCTCTCTGCTGCTTCCCCTTCCTTCCCCTAATGACACGGCTCCTCATTAGGGCCAGTCTGGGGCAGAAGCATGCTTTCTAATCGCATTATACAGGCACCATTCATTCCCATATTCAATTACATTTAGTCACAGTCGTTTGCATCATGTGATATGGGAAAGGGGTTGGATCACTGTGGGAAAGGTCCAAATGTTGACTACGTATAAGGTCTGATCACCATGCAGGGCTGGTTTCATAGATTCATAACAACAGCTCCAGTTATCTCTGTAAACAATCAGATGAGCAGGCAGCTTGTTGCCATCAGAAGGTGTGGTGCAATGATTTTTAGATGACCCATGAGAGTAATCGTGCGATATTTTACGGCTTTTGAGGCAGATCCACATACGCAGTCCACTCTACATATAGTTCTGTGCGGGGAAGAGCATTTATTAGTGTCAGAGGGACAACAAATTTTGCTGCACCGTGCCACGCCTCTTTTTTCTGTTCCCTCTCAATCACTCACACACACGGTCCGTCACACTCATCCAGCCCTCATCTGGGAGATATAAATCATTCAGCATTGTTTCTGAGTCCACAATGTTGTGTCTTGCTCAGCGCATTGCCTGCATCTGCTTTTTCTGCAGAAACCATCAAACAAGCAGGGCAACGGTCAAAGGAGCTGTTGTAAATTCAGCTTTATGAAAGTCAGAGTGCTCCATTCACAGTTTCCTTACTGTCTTTTATGCAAAAAAACAAAACAAACACTCTTCATATTTATTTTTTCAATCTAATTGTTGATTACCAGTGATGCAGTGTATAAAAATGTTCTGCTAACTTGGCAATGCTTTCAAATCTGCTATGATATATAATGTACAAAAGTATAGAATTAAATGGGAACATTGTTCAGAATGAGAAACTTAATCCCTTAAATAACTACCCACTGCCTAAAGAGCAAACAAGGAAGGGTGTGCCCTGATTGAACTCTAACAGAATCGTGTCTTTTATCTGGTTACCCATCATTATACAAAATAGAAGGTGGTCCTTGTTCCATCACTGCCCTGAGGGTACGGCATATTAGATCATGAATCGTGGCAATTTTTAGAATGGGAATGATTTATCTCATTGAAGGGATCTACCATAAAACAGAGTTCGAGAAGGGGATGTCTTTATTTATTCTTTTCTGACGAATGATTCTCAGAGAGGCTTCGTCACTAGTTGTAGAGTAAGTCAGACCTCCAGTCAAAAGGACAACAGTGCAGAGGAGCTGACAGAGGAGGCGATGTGCTGCATCAGCAGATTTGTGTGTTGTAATGGAAGCTTTGGAAGAGTAGAGGAAAGGGAGAAAAAGGCACAATGTTCCTGATAAGAGATCTTCCTCAAGTCCAAATGTCATTAAGCTCTCAGACTTGAAAATGTATGTAGTTGGGCAAAAACTTCCTTATATTAATTGTCAAAGAAAATAGATTAATTAACTAATAATAGCAGTAAAATTTAACTATTGCATGTTTGATTCATGTGAAAGCTTTTCTTCACAAAATGCAAACAACAGAACATAATCAAGAGCATAAATTGTATAAACAAGTAAACTCAACCCCCTGGCATCCCAATAAGGTCTAAAAAGCTGCTGTTCATCCTTGATTTGAAGAACTGAGTGCTGCTAATCTAGTTTAGGTGCCATTAGCACCCTATGAGGGACACAAAGAAGTAAAAAAGCAGGAATTATTTTCCTCTTTGTTGCAGATACAGTTCAGATTTCAGTTGGAAGTAGTAATATTTACAGATAAACATTTAAATGTTTAAGACATCTTTTCTTAATGCATGTGCACATGGTTCAGTTCAGTCATTAATCTTGAAAAGGAATTGAATATTTGCTATGTTTGTACATATACATACGTAAAATTGGCTTCTAATATGTACATATATGTGTGTGTGTGTGTGTGTGTGTGTCTTTGTTTTTATGTCTCTGTAGTACATGGGTTGCATTGAAGTACTGAAGTCGATGCGCTCCCTGGACTTTAACACACGGACTCAAGTGACAAGGTAAGCTGGTGACCATCTTTCCTAATGTCTATAACCTTAATAGAGCTGTTGTTCGTGACGATACCAATATTCTCGCAACAGTGAATTGGAGATGAAGCATACATGTTTATTTTGTATTCACATATGTTTAACTTATGATCAGGTTATTCGTAATAACCCGTTTGGTTGTTAGCACCATTGCCTCACAACAGGAGGGTTCCCAGGTCAAATCCCAGCTGGGGACATTTCTGTGTGGAGTTTGTATGGTACATGGGTTCTCCCCAGGTATTTAGGCTTCCTCCCAACATTCAAAACCATGTCAAATGAATTGGTTTAATACCTGTCACGCAGGTGGATCTTGGAGGAGGACTCAGGCGCGGATATTCGCGAAAAAGGTTTATTTTAACAAAAACACACTCAAACGGAGTGGATGCTGAAAAGATTAAAAAACAGGGCTGTGGAAAAACTATGAGCAAAGTAACAAAGCAAGGTTAACAAAGCTGTGGCAAAGTATCAAAACAAGACTATGGCAAAAGTACAAACAAGATTAAGATGGCTGTGGTCAAAACAAGGCTGTGGCAAAAATAAGACTATGGCACGAAAAGCTAGACTGTGGGAAAATATCAAGGAGTAAACAAGGCTATGGCAAAGTAACAAAGTAAAGATTAACATAACTATGGCAAGGCTGTGGCAAAACATGGCTATGGCAAAGGGCAAATAATCAAACCCTCACATGCCGTGGGGAGACGAAAGACGAGAGACGAAAGACGAAAACGAACTGGCACAGGACATGGGAAACGAGGACTAACACATGAGGGAGGGGAACCCCAGGTGTACACAATAGGTAATCAACACATGACGAGACACCAGACATTCCCCCAGACAATACCCATAGTTACTACGTGTGGGCATGGTTGACTCTCTTGTATGTCACTGCCTGGATCCGTGATGCACTAGTCCAGATTGTACTCTGTCCCTCGTCTAATGTCGGCTGGGATATGCTCCAGACCCCCCACAGTCATACTTGGGATTTAAAAAAATGGGTGGATGGTTAAACTGCTCCATTTATAATATAATAAAGTGACACCTGTTCCTTTGGTGAAACCTGAAAAATCCTTCTTTTATATAATTTACGCTGAAAGGGATTTTTAACACTATAATGCCAAATGTATCATATTTGATACATCCGGTTTCTGAAGTCTATTGGATCTGAGACTTTTTGCATCATTCAATGGTAAAAGCTTTGCTCAAACCCCTGTTGTACGCATTCAGATATACCTGATAACAGCCAGTAGAAGACTACACCAAAATATATTTTTTACTTATTGCATGCTAATTTGATCAAAATAATTTTTTTTTTTTTCTTCATATCTGGTTGAGGGGCCAAAGAAAGACTTCAGACTAAAAATCCAATATTCTTCCTATTTTTCTTGGATCAGGCTTTAAAGGGTTAAATATTAATAACCATTGGGGTAAATATGTCCATTGAGGCAACTGAAAGCATAAAAGGCTTCAATCTAAACTAAGTCACATGTCTAAGCGCACAAGCCAACCCACTTAGTGAATGCATTGGTTAAGAGATGAACACAACACTTGTACTAGGAGACGTTCAGACGGGGTGTGTGTCTTTTGTAAGAAACTGTCCCGGGCTCTTTGTGTGTCTGTTCCCTTGTGTTTAGATGCACTTCATGCGATGATGTAATAAAGGTACATCCATGCAACCTTCAACCTCTCGGGAGAAACCAATCTCCAACCCCCCACCCCCTGCACCTCTCTCTCTCTCTCCCCTCCTCTCTCTCTCTTATTCTCCCATCTCTCCTCGACAATCGATCTGCAGTAATCTGAGCCCCCGTTGTGCATCCAGGGCTTAAGTGCACGGTGGAGGGAGGCGGCAGAGATGGAATGAGAGAGATAGGAGATCTATTATTGATGATGTTCTCTAATGAACGTGGAAAGCTGCAGTGCTCTCCATGAACTCGCCCAACTGGATAATGTCTTTGGGTGTAAGTTGTGCGGGAGGAGTGAGAGAGGACAAAGGGGGTGTTGCTCAGAAGAAGAAGCAAAACACCAAAACAAAAGCAAAGGGAGGAACCCTGCAGACAAAGAGCTGCCGGTGGATGTTTTGTGTTTGATTGCAAATGATCAGTTTGGTGATGGTTTGTTGTGCTGATGATGAATGTGCTGCGGTTATAGTTTTTTATTATTGTTTTGGTTCTCTGAAAGACACTTCTAATTCAAGCTAGCTTTGGCTCACTTGTAGTTCACATGATGCGTCTTTTTCCAGGTGTTATATTTCCAAAAAACACCATTATCCCCCTTGCTAATTACGCATATCTGAATCTGAATTATTGAATCTGCATCATTGTTTAACATGTCTCAAAGACACCATTAAGACTGAAAATGATGTTAATACATAGCCTAATTACAGCCAAAAAGGAAACAACAAAGAACATTTGAGAATTGTTAAAAAAAAGGGAGAAAAAGTGGATTTCATCTCATTGATTTTAAAGAAGATTCTGTCTTACAACAGCACTCTCATTGTCATGTAGACTGTAGACAAAAAAAAAACAACAACAGCCCATCCTCCTGTTGCTCCTCCTGTTCAGAGTCATCTGAACATTGTGATGTTTTTCAAAAAATCCCCGAGAAGACCTTTAGTCAAGATGGGATGCTGCTTTTAAATATTTTACAAGCCACTTGATAGGGCCAGCTGGGCTCTTGATTATAAGCTATATAACTACCCAATAGGCTGCCAGTCCCAAGGGGGTAGCATCTTTGTTGCAGAGTTTCCTTAAAAAAGAGCTACTTATCTTCACATTGTAGGGTTTAATTTTCCTATTTTAAACTGAGATGTTGACTGAGAAACATTCACTGAAAATTCGCTTTTTTTATTATAGTGTCAACATAGAAAAACTGGATTAGCTCATTGTAAATACATCAGATGAAATCTGTCAGGGGTCTTTAACCTGTGATATTGGATTAATTAACGTAGCACAGCAAGTATGTCCATGTAAAAGAGAATATTTTCCCATTCTGAGGTGTGTGTAGCCCTAAGTACTTCATGAACCTGCGTGTGTAAATGATTTATTAAATATATGTATAAAAATACATTTAAAAAACTGCATGATTTTAAAATCATTGTTGGCCAGTGACAAAAACCTACCTGCGACTTGGACTAACCAACACTTTTTGTTCATTTGTCCCATCAGGGAAGCCATCAACAGACTTTGTGAAGCTGTTCCAGGAGGGAAGGGGGCTTGGAGGAAGAAGGTTAATGATACATTTAGATATTATTATACTTGTGGCAAATGATAAGTAGTGTTTCATATGAATGAAAGGCGTTTTAATTCATATGAACCACACAAAACACCTACATACGGAATGTTTTTTTGTCATAAGATAAATATTATATGCACAGCATGACATTAAATAATTTTTTTTTAGTTATTTACACCTGAAATGATGTAATTGTGTTTCTATATTGTGCTTAGGATGAGTCAAAGTGTGCATTATTGTTTGCCTCATTTGTCCCTGTGTGGTGTATGATGAATTGGTGTGCAGGGTGTAGCCCGCATCTTGCCAAATAACAGCCGGAAAGGTAGCAGGCCCCTGTCAATTAGGCGACCATAGAAAATGGATGGTTGGTGCGGCTGTAAATTTCGCTGTATTCTGTTTTATTTCAGGCCATAAACAAGGCTCTGCAGTCGGTCATGGGGAAGAGCAACCTGCGGTTTGCGGGGATGAGCATCACAGTCAACATTTCCGTAGATGGCCTCGGTCTGCTCATCCCAACCACGCGGCAGGTCAGATTAGAACAAGATCTTGATAAAACAACACTTACCTTTTACCTTCATCTTCTCCTGTACAGTGCATTGACTGAATCACCTTATCCAATTCTCTCTTTTAGGTTATAGCACACCATCCTATGCAATCCATCTCATTCGCCTCCGGAGGAGACACAGTGAGTGTAGCACTTCAGACTGCTGTCTGGATATATTTTACCACATTGCATTTCATCTTTTACTGGTTTCGATTCTCACGGTTTAAGAAAATCAATGGATAAGTAATATTAGGTCACTAAAGTCTTATAACAATGACATGATCCATCTTCTGCTTGCAGGACACACCTGATTATGTCGCATATGTTGCCAAAGACCCAGTGAATCAGAGAGGTATGCCCATTTGCCTCTCTACCCCTTCTGAAATACTTTCAAATGATTTGCATTATGATTTCTAGATGATGGAATTAGGTTAGATCATTGTTTTAAATCTCCCTCCCATATGTTGATCAGAAAGAATCTGTTTTTCTCATGTGGTCCCATTTGTTTGGTTTCCTTTAGCGTGTCACATCCTGGAGTGCTCGGATGGTTTAGCCCAAAGCGTCATCAGTACCATCGGCCAGGCCTTCGAACTGCAATTCAAACATTACCTACACAGCCCTCCGAAAAGCATGGCCTCCGTGGAAAGGTAAGGCGAGGTCCGGTCAAGCCCAAACTAGATTTGTTGCGTGTCCGAAGTGGTAGGAGAATGGCAGAAGAATTCTATGGCTACTTTTATCCTGGTCACCATGTTACAATTAGATGAATGTAGGTACTGCCACCTACTCCTAAAAGTAAAACCACACATGGTAAAATACATAGGAATACATTCAAAATGATGCAATAATCAACACACAGCTTGTTAAAACAGCAGAGAAAAAGTAAGAGAGAAATCAAATGAGGACACTTATGATAAATGGAAGGGATGGAAGTCATTTGAAATCAATAAAAATTTAATTGGACCAACGTCTAAAAGAAGCATAGAGAAGAGGCATTCAGCATTAAAGAGCTTCTCTGCCTCCGAAACCTGATATTGTGTGATTCTCAGGTTTCTCTGTTCATAAGAAGGAGATGTGTCAAGTCGATGTTGTGTACCTTAGAGTTCATCTTGTATTGTGCGTTGTACACCGTAACCGCATATCGAGGGTCTCCAGAGTGGTGCCTCTGCGGATACAGTCGGAAGTTAAGCCGAGAAGCTTCTTCTTTTTCTGGTTTCAAATGAACGTCCTCCTTCCTGGCAGTAGCAGGAACGTTACAGATGTAAATAGATGTCTATGTTTGGACGTGGGCTTAACAGTTTGATGAGAGGAAACCTATTTGAGAACCTCGATTTCCCGTTCTAATTGCATCAAACAAAAATCTTCCACATAATCATTGCTACTAGGAAGTCTTACTGTTATTTACGTACTTGTTCCTGGTTTTAGACCTCAGTTTTCATGGGTTATGGTTTTTTGGGGTGTTTTTCTTATTTTCTTATTATACTTAATAAGACTTATTGTAATAAGTTTGGGATATTCTCACAGTTTTGGTTATTTCAAGATCTGTGATTTGGTTTGGACTTCTTCCTTTGAGTTAGATATTCACCTATACTGTCTCTTTTGTATCTACAATCTTTTTTTTTTAGCTCCTGGGCCCCTGTATCTTGTTTTTATATTTACGTTTACAGTTTTGGTTCAGTGTTTGGTTTATGATTGTATTTTCTTCTTTTCCTCAAATTCATTTTGTGATTTTTCTGCATGGCTTTGCTTTTTGTCTTGTTCTCTTGATTAAAACATAGCGCCCATCTCATGCTTCTCCACATGACGTTGATAAAAATACGTTTCTCTACAGGCCTGTCAGGATCGACGAACCTATGTGGGGGGAGGACGACAGTTTTTCCGAACACGATTATTACAACAGTATTCCAGGGAAGGAGCCTCCTGTTGGGGGCGTTTTGGACTCGAGACTCAGGCCTGTTGGTGCCTTCCTGGGTCACATCCACGCTCAAAAACAGAGCAGGACTGCATCCCAGGTCAGTGTCCAGGGTTTTGATGATTGAACCATGGTCTTTTTCTTCATTTTATCATGTGAAGTATCTGTTCTCTATCGTCAGAGTGGTCTCTGTTCCTCAAGGATCTCAACTTTGGTCCTTGAGGGCCGCTGTCCTGCAGGTTTTAGAAGTTTCCCGGCTTTAACACACCTAAATCTGATTAAATGGATTGATTCAAAACATTGTGAGGCTCTACCCAGGCCTGCTGACGGTGCATTGAGGCGAATCAGCTGGACATCCCCAGACTTAAAGAAAATCTTTTCGGTTCCAGCAATCACATAAATGAGATTAAGCTTGTGATCCATCACAGATAACAACTTGTTTTGGAACAACTGTAGTAAAGTAAATGTTACCCATTGTACAACATGGCATTTTGTTTGAATACTTTGTCTGTATAAGCCTCCTTAGTTTCGCTGAGGTGGAATATTGAAGTCTCCCATAATGTTCCTACATTGATAAGTCTCTCCACCAGACAAATATTGTCTCTTTGTGAAGGAGTGCAGTTTTTCTTTAGCAAAGTCATTGGGATTGCTCCACCACAGAGTGATTCTCAACCTCAGGGCCAAATGGTATCACAGATATGATAGAAACTACCTGTGGTTCTAGTGAAATCAAGTACCTCAGAATGACTGCAACACTAATCCCTCTGACAGCTCCCTCATTAACTGGTGATTGATGTGTTGTGCTGCTCGTTCTCTACGGAAAACATTGGCCCACTCGAGCATGTTCATGAGGTCATGATTTGCCTTGGCTAATGTTTCAAGCAAAGTGCTTCGAAACTGCATTACGCAGAAGCAGGAGCCGGCTATTCTGCATTTTTTTGCTGAGAAATGAATGCATTTATGGTGTGTGCTTTCCTTGTATGGTCCTGTGCTGGCAGATGGGCTCACCGGCCAGGAGGGAGCAGGCATCTTACCCGCCCGGTCAGCTGTGTTACGAGCTCCACTGGGACACTGAACACAGCTCAGGTGAGACACCCTGTGGCTACAAATCTATATAACATGTAGAAACATCTTAGATCTTTACTTGACTCTTTGTCATTTCATTATCTTTGAAATGACAAGAGAGATGTAATGTTCTCAGACGCTTTTGTTTTTTAGCAAAGGCTACTATTAGAGAAGAGGTATTTACATGTTCTTCTATGGCAGTGTTTTTCAACCTTTTTTGAGCCAAGGTACAGTTTTTCATTGAACAAATCTCAAGGCACACCAACCAAAAATGTTAAACAAATCTGTAGCTGCCTATAGTAACACTATAGTTATTCTTATTTTATTCTTATCTTATCTTAAGTGTCTTGAATAGGAATCAATTAAAGACAAACATGTATTTTTATCATATTTTATATTTCTTCTTTCAAATTGCACTTAACATGTCCACTTCAATATGCAAAATTAAATACAAAATCTAGTCGTAAGGAATTATGACATGATTACGCCCCCAGTCACTAGAACACCACAGACACTCAAAAATGGCATATTATTTGCAGATAATTAATTCCTTATCAAAATTTTTTTAAAACCAAATAGGTGAAATTTCTACGGCACACCTGACCATCACTCACGGCACACTAGTGTACCAAGGCACAGTGGTTGAAAAACACTGTTCTATGGTTCTCTGATGTCTCGGTGACTATGTTTGCATGGCGGTTAGGTTGTGTTTCTATCTTCTGTCTGGGAATTGCTCGCCTGTATCTACAGACGCTGATTCATTTCCAAACCGCCACAGACAGACACTCTCTGTTTGTACTTTTCTAAGGATCACATGAATAGAATTAGGAATCTTGGGACCTTTGATCAGGTTGCATCTGAGACAACGGAGCTGCTCTTATGATGAACAGCTTCTCAAATTAAATCAAAGGAAAGGCAGATTTTCTGACATTGTTGTTTACAAAAGATTTTTCTTAAAGTAAAGTGAAGTAGTTGAATTTGCTTGATTTATTTGCTATCTGAACTGATGAAATGCATGACTTGTTTTTTTTGTGCTTAAGAATCTTTTATTTCTGTTTACTAGGAGCATGTTAAAACAAATAGTAATGCACAACCAAATTAATCTAATTACATCGTCTCATTAGGTTGTTTAAGCACTTTTGGAATGAATTATAATTAGCTCAGCAATGTGGTTTTGACCACTAGAGGAGAGGTAAAAATGTAAAAAAATCACAAATGGTAGTTTCCATAAATTTTGCAAGCTTATTCGTCATTGTTGGGTTTGATTTCAGATGGTTACCTGTGGGCCGACGGTCAGCCATCTGACAGCAAGGTTTATGAAGAACACCAATATGTAAACACCCAGACCCTGGAAAACCTAGACGTGCACACACATGGTCCCGATGGACTCAGGAGGTCCAGGGTACCTGACAGTCCCAAGAAGGACATCTTTGACATGAGTGAGCCCTTACGTTTGATATATCTGGGTACGAGGCTAAAGGCTATTGCAGAGCACCCAACTTTGCAGCTCTAAATCATCTCTGTCTCCTCAGGGCCGTTTGAGGATGCCCTGAAACTCCACGAGGCCTGTGGTGGAGCCGTCGGGTCAGGTGGATGTGGCCCACAGGCTGGAGGGGGAGGGTTACGAATCGTGGAGGATCAGTGGCCCAGCCCCCCAAGGCGCAGAGCCCCCGTCGCCCCCAATGAGGAGCAGCTCCACATGGAGGTCTGGTACCACAGCCGAATGAGCCGAAGGGATGCGGAGAAACTCCTGGTCCGAGACGGAGACTTCCTTGTCCGGGAAAGCACCACCAACCCTGGGCAGTACGTGCTAACAGGCATGCACTGTGGCCTACCCAAACACCTCCTCCTCGTGGACCCCGAGGGAGTGGTGAGTCTGTCAGCAAATCAAAATTTGATCTATATTATACTTTTTTAAAATCTTTATGTAAAGCTAGTGATGCAAAAATAAATGGAAATCTAACCCTTTCATTTTTTGCTTCTAGAGGTCAAGATTATTACTTACACGGCACATTTCCTGTTTTTGTCCATTTAGGTCCGGACCAAAGACATGTTATTCGAGAGCATAAGTCACCTTATATCATTCCACTTGAAGAATGAGCTGCCTATAGTGGCAGCAGAAAGTGAGCTCCATCTCAAACAGGTGGTCAGGAGGAAGCAATAAGTCACCAGGCCCAGCATGGGAAGGTAAATGCCCGTGTTCATTGAACAATATGAATAAAGTGCATGTGGTTTAAAAAGCGGATAACGAGTAGGCATCTATTTTGCCACAAATAAAACAAAAAAACAGCTTCTTGCTGTTTGAAATCAACAAATCTGAGCAAACTTTTCTGACAACCCAAAACCAGTAATAAGTAAACACTGAACTTTTCATAGAGAATTAAAGCTTTTCTACTGTAAACTAATACAATGATAGGAAACAGGGAGAAATGTGATGTGGGTTTTACATATGTGCACACAGAAAGACTCAAGCTATAAAATGTACATGATCTTTTCTTTAAAAAATGTCCTGTAAAAATGCATGCTCTGGATAAAAAATATCACTAGATATTATTCACCTTATGAGAATATTAACCCTTTAAAGCCTGATCTAAGAATAAAACTAAACAGAAAATCACTTTTTTTCGTTTGAAGTCCTTATTTGGCCTTTTAACAAAATATGTAAAAAGAAAAAACAGAAATACATTTTCAATATTAATAATTTATTACCATGCGATAAGTCAAGATTATGTTTTGTGTAGTCTTCTGCCCCCTGTTATCAGGTATATGTGATTGTGTACAATATGATTTTGAGCTAATTTTTTACCATTAAATTATGCAAAAGGTGTCAGACACAAAACATTTCAGAAACCGTACATATCAAATATGATACATTTGTCATTATAGGGTTAAGAATTTCTTCAGTTATCATCAATTCAACATTCACCTCTTCTCAGGCAATGGTGGACAGACTATATTGTGCAATAGACTATGCTTATGTACACTAATTATGTCATCCTTTTGTTTCCACAATATTCCAGAACTGGATGTTTCTGAGCCCTCCTAAACCAACCTGAACACAGACCGTGGAATTTATTTTCCGGTCAACTGAGAGACATCTGCTCCTTTTTCCTCTTGGACATACCTCTCATGAGAGGGAGGAGTCTGACGTTGGGTTGTCCTTTCTCTGCCTGTCAGCTTCCAGGGTCCCTACAACGGTCGTCTGTCCTAACCTCCTCAGCTTGCAGCAATTAAGCTAATAAACGAACAAGAATCCACAGTCCGGTCTGTGCCGGAGCAGCATGATCATAAAAGTCTAGATTTAAAAATGACGGCTGTTTGCAGAGGATGGGAACCTCAGGAAATTTCAAATTGAGCTGGTTCACAGCTTAGTTCACAGTGAAGTGTTTCCAAAGCGCCACACAGTCAGGATAACCTCTCGGACAATAAGGAACCATCACCAGAGCAAAACGAACAAAATTTGCGACGTTCTGATGCGAGTATTAAAAAAAAAAAGATGACTTTGCTGCTCAGAAACTCAATTTTGTACAAACGGAAGAAACTGTCTGTGACTACAAGAAGCAAATGGAGACCGGTATTTTGTTCCACAGTATGATCACACAGACTGAACACTATTCAATGCTGGATTTCGAGAGGAACTGCACATATTTGTTGTTGTTTTTTTGGTTGCCTTGATAAATAACATACATATGACATTTTTTTTAAATAATGCCATACAGTCATAATATATTTTCTTCTAAACATCCATAAGAGGAGAAGGAGGCATAAGACATAATGACTAGTCTGACAGTGACTTGTTTAACCATATTTACTTGATATATAAACTTATTTCAGTGTATGTAAGAGGTTATTCTATGTGCTGTATAAGGCAGTGAACTCTTTAGTCTGTGTCAAATGGTTCCTTCTGGGTTCAAAAAAGAAAGAAAACCAAACCCCTTGCATTTAAACACCGTTTATCCATGTGTGTTGTTCCACAGTCCCACCCACTTCAGTGCCTTGAAACTGGCAGATGTCTGTGTCAGAATGTCTATAGAGTTGCATTTATGCTTATAATGCGAAAGACTATTTTTTTCTTGCCATGGACACATGGACAAACTTCAGGACGATTAAGCTGTTGTATTTACAAAGAGTAATGCAAGCTGCTCCAGCTTTAGTAATAATTCATGGTCTCATAGCAGTGTTCTTGTCCAAGATGTGTCCCTTCAATAGAGTACCGACCATTGGTAATTCTCTTCTGTTACAACACATCTTTAAGTGTGGATTTGGATTAATTTCTTTGTCCCGGCTCAGGGAAATTCATCCCCTTAGTGAATGTCCTTATGAATCTGTGCATAATGTTCATAGCTATAATGCTCATTGACGGCATCAACAGAGTAACACTTTTAAGACTGAAAAGACTTTTGATATTGTGTTTGTCTTAGCTTAGATACATGTCTTTATTCAGGCCCACCACTTTTTGTAGATTCAGCCTCTCAGATAAGAGAATACCCCTCAGATAAGATCCATTGCAAATCTTTCATCGGTTCGAACCGCGTTTGTGTTCAAGGTCTCCCCTTTTGCTTTCACAGGAATTTCATGAATTTTTCCTTCTATGAGCAAAAGGAATGGCATTCTCAATAAAATAAATCAAAACGAGAGTATGACTCAAACAGTGTTTTGTCTTTGAGCCCTATTCGTCTGCCCTAATTGAATTTGTGCATCAACTGTCATGAAAAATGGCACAAAAAGAACACCAGCAGAGACATTAATCTTTTTTTTTTTTATTGTAACAACATCATATAAAATCAGTCAACTTGCCACTGGCACACAGCCTCTTCTATTCTCAAAGTAAACACTGTATCCACTCGTACCTTTCTACCATAAAGTCCCCACAGGTAATAAAGGCACTCCATATTCAACTCTCTCTCAGTTGTTTGGTGATGGCTCAAAGCATTAAGGCTATTGTTTAAGTGTATTTAGATCATGCATGCAGCAACGTCTGACCACACGGGTTTGTTGTGTTTTGGCTTTGTGTACCAGGTCTGGTCCGACGGGTTAGTTCATGCGGGGCCGGTTTAGTGTCGTTGCTGTGTCATCCTCAGAATCTGAAGAAGCAGATGCTGCACTTCCTCATCCATGCGGCCCTGTGGTGGACAGAGGGACACCCATAAAAGATCTGAAGTACTACCAGTGTGTAGTTAATGCACAACATTTGAGTGAGGACACGGTGTTATTTTGATATTTCCTATAATTTTACAGCTAAAATTGCAGTATTGTTGACTTCCTAAAAAATATTTGATGAACTTATCAAATATGATATAGACCTCTACCAATCTAGAACAGATTATGTCCCCAGAACTGTAAACTCGGACTAAATTGTGCCTGTTTCTCAAGTTTTGGAAAGCAATAGAATTGTTATAACGGTACTGTATATCTATTTCTCTTTGTTGATGTACAGTGGGGGAAATAAGTATTTGACCCCTTGCTGATTTTGCAGGTTTGCCCACTTACAAAGAATGCTTATTTTTCCTCATCAGATGGTTAGCAATTTTTATAAATTCATACGATGTGATTTTCTGGAATTTTCTTTGGGATTCTGTCTTTCACTGTTAGAATGTACATATGATTAAAGTTATAGATCGTTGGATTCTTTGTAAGTGGCCAAACCTGCAAAATCAGCAAAGGGTCAAATACTTATTTCCCCCACTGTATATGACAGGAAGATGTCACCATGATAAACACATTTTGGCCTGTTTTGGTTGCTTCATGTACCAGAAATCAATAGCTATCCATTGGGAAAGCATCTGTAATGTCACGTCTGGGGGAATTTTTGGTGTTTTTTGTCCTGTCTCCATGGTTGTAAGGTAATTTCCTGTTTTATTTTGAAAGATACATCCCCTTGTTTCAGGTCTCTTGCGCTCCCCTGTGTGTCACATGTCTGCTTGTCCACCCTGATCACTAGTTGTGTTCACCTGGGGTTCCTTTCCCTTGTGTTTAAATAGTCTGAGTCTCTCTTTGTCTGGTGCCAGTGGGTTTTGTCCCTATTTATCCCTCCTTTGGATTGAGTTTATTTTGTACTTTGTCCACAGTCTTGTTTATGCCTCGTAAGAGTGATTTTAATTTCATTCTTTGTAACTTTTGCCATCCTCTGTTTAGAGTGAGATTATTTGATACTTTGGTTACAGCCTTGTCTGCCTCTTTTGAGAGATTATTATTTGATACTTTGTTCATAGTTTTTTTTCCCTTTTTTGAACATTTCCTTGTCATCCACTCCTTGCGAGTGCGCTTTTGGTTTAATTAAAACCTTTTGCCAAGATCTCTGCATCTGGGTCCTGTTTGAGTACCATCCCTGACATGTAAAATCTAAAAAAAAAAGTAAGCTATGTAAACTCAACTGACCTGCACGGCGGCCAGCAAATGGGAGCGGTACACAGCCACAACCTGCTTGTGTTTTCTCTCCCAATCCTGCAAAAAATGAATATAAATTCTGATCTTGTCACAAAAAATACTCAAATACTTTTTAGACTATTGCATTTTTTCTGCCACATGCATCCTCACCTGCAGCTGTTGGTTGAGAATGGAGATCCTATTCTGCAGCGCCATCTGTTGCCCCGGGTTACCGACCTGTGCGGACGACGAAGAGGAGGATGCAAAGCCGAGGGGAGGAGTGAGAGCTCCCAGCGCCTCTTTTAGCCTGAACACCTCCTTGGACAGCTCAGTGACCTGTGCAGATGTCAAACTTAATGAATTGATCAGGACGTCAACGGGGGACGCAAAAGGCGGGGCCTACGGTCTCTCACCTTGCGGTCCTTCTCTTTTACCAGGCCCTGGGACTCCTGGATGTCTTTGTGGAGTTCCTGGACGTGGCCGGACTGGCTCTGCAGCTCAGTAAGCTGCTGCTGAACCGTGGCCAGCTGCGACTCGGCCGCTTGGCGCTCACTCTTGTGGAAAAGGGCCTCCCTCTGCACCTGGAACACCTGGACACGTATGAAGACTCTTGTTATTCCGTCACACAAATGCCGTCTCCATTCGGTCATACTCCTGATTGTGATATTGTATGCTTGTGCAAGAAACGGGGCTGGATCTGAGGCATAATTTACAGGTGTGGGCTTCACCTGCTGTGATCGTTGCAGGGGACAAATTACTGAATTACAAACATTCCATGTTACTGTCCTTGCAATTTTACTGGTATAGTGAATTAACATAGCATAACGGAATACAAATGGAAAACATTTGGATTAATCACCACTTTTTCCATACATTTTTGAATGAGTAGATGCGTTCAAACCTTTAACTAGTACTGTGTTTTTACAACTACATTTGAATAGTTGCAATAATTGTAACCTCCACCTATTTTCTAATTATTTTCTTGTTTAAAGGTGCTAGCGGGCTGATGCCAATCCCATTTGTAATCATACAAGAATCAATTTAGACCCTATACTCTTAAGTTGTCCATCCAAAATAAAAAGGGAGCTGAAGTTCTTGAAAAAAGCCTTTTGAACTGTTACCGGGCGTTTTTTAAGTTTGTATGGCACAGAAACATCTCCCTGCAGAACAGAGAGAGCCGTTTCCTAACATACCAGTAGAAAAGAAAAGTCACTTCAACTAAAAACAATAGGCTGAAAAAAGGAGGCTTCCTGAGTACGAGGTGATTTCGATCACATCTCATAATCCCAATGCAATTATTTGAGTCAAGCTTGAATGGTTTGTGGTTCTAATAACACTCTGGCTTGAACATTATCACGTCAGTGGACAAACAGTGCGGGAGGAAATTGTGAAAGCTCAACGAAACAAAAAAAACATTTATAAAGCAAATACATAAATTAAACTCTTAGTATTCTTAGGGGACATTTTTTCAACAAAACTTTCTGTGTGAGGAAGAGGGATTTTATTCATATCAAATATTTATACCAGAAAAACCACTGCACAAACTGGACAGCAACTACAAAAGGAGGACAAGGGGCCCATGCAACTCATCAATACAGCATATAGTCGACATGACCGCTGTAACACAGGAAGGAAAAGGGGAAGTAATAGACAAATGAATAATATGAGTTACACTAAAAAAATCTTATCATGAAACGCAGTTCCCATTGTGGCCGACTCGCCATCTAATTTGGCTCTGGATGGCATCAGAAAGAACAGAAGACAGGCGCAATAAGACAGTGCACCTACCTCAGTGCACGTCTTCTCGTGTTTGCGGGTGAGATCGTTGAAGCGCGCGGTGGCGGCGTTGATCTCGGCCTGCAGGGCGAGCCGCTGGGCTTCGTGCTCCTCCTTGGAGATCAGGCCCTGCTCCGCGGCCCTCTGGGACCTGAGCTCTCTCAGCTCCGTCTCCTTTTCGCTCAGAGCGTCCCGGGCCGCCGCCGCACTCCTCTCACTGGCCTCCAGGGCGCACTGGAGCTCTGCCTGGTGGACCAGAAGATCATGCTCAGAAAGGTGGCCTTACCTCAAGAATTGGAAAATGTATTACCTAACCCACTAAGTGAACCCCTCTTTAATTCTTTCTAACATATTAGAATTTCTTCTCCTTGTTTCCTTGCATCTAATGTAATATACACCTGTCAGGGAATTAGAACATCTACAGTGGGGGAATAAGTATTTGACCCCTTGCTGATTTAGCAGGTTTGCCCACTTACAAATAATGCTTATTTTTCCTCATCAGATGGTTATCAATTTTTATAAATTCATATGATGTGATTTTCTGGAATTTTCTTTGGGATTCTGTCTTTCACTGTTAGAATGTACATATGATTAAAATAGTTTATCGTTGCATTCTTTGTAAGTGGGCAAACCTGCAAAATCAGCAAGGGGTCAAATACTTATTTCCCCCACTGTATATTGCTTGTGCTTACCAAATTTAGGGCCGACTGTAAAATAACATTGACATTGTCTGATAACATTTTAGAAAATGTAACTGTGTCATTTCCCAAATATCTAGTATAATGTTTGTGGATTGAACTGCTGTCTATCATGTGTATTGCTCTGTCAAAAATGGATAGGGGTTCCAAATCAGCTATCTAATTTTTATGCAAAAGTCACTCTAAAGATGGCATCAACTAAATGTTTGACAATTCATGCTATTATTTCCCAAAACATTAAGTCCGTTTCTTACATTTTGTTATCGTGTGGCAACAATTCTACAACCTTTATGCTTCAGTCAGGACAAAGAGCACCAGACAAAAACAAAAAAGGACAAAAGGCTCACGCCCCAGCATCATTTTAGATTATGCATTAACATATCAAGGGTAGTGAGAATTTAAAATATATAAATCTTAAGCACAGAATAGATTCAACATTGTTGGCTGGCAATTTCAGTTATGAACCAGCCCTTATATTCTGAGTCTTTTCCCTTATGACCAATCTATAAATCTAATACATTGTTTTTCAACCACTGTTGAGTGATCATCAGGTGTGCCGTAGAAAATCATCCTATTTCACCTAATTGGTCTAAAAAGATTTTTTGATAAGGAATTCATTTTCTGCAAATAATATTCAATTTTTGAGTGTCTGTGCTGTTCTAGTGACTGGTGGCGTAATCATGTAATAATTCCTTATGACTATATTTTGTATATAATTTTGCATATTGAAGCGGACATGTTAAGTGCAATTTGAAATAAGAAATATAAAATAAGATAAAAATACATTTTTGTGTTTATTTGATTCCTATTCATGACACTTAAGGTAAGATAAGAATAAAATAAGAATAACTATAGTGTTACTACAGGCGGCTACAGATTTGTTTAACATTTTTGGTTGGTGGTGTGCCTCAAGATTTTTTCAATGAAAAACTGTACCTTGGCTCAAAAAAGGTTGAAAAACACTGATCTAATACATATTCTATTTTAATTAGAAAATCGATTTTAAAATTGATTGTTTCACTTGATTTGCATCAACAATGATCAGTCCTTACTTTGACTTTTTCGTGCTCTTCTTTGGGAACGGTGTCCTGCCCGGCTTGCAGTTTGGCCTGGAGCTCGGCGGTCAGCTCCTCGGCCTGGGCCCTCAGTGTTTTCTCCTTCTGGAGCTCCTGCAGCGCCTCGGACAGCCGCTGCGAGGCGGCGGACAGGGCCTCCTGGTGTTTGGAGAGCGGCACAGCGTCGTTCAGCTGCAGGGCGTCCTGCGCCCGGCCCTCCCGCTCCGCGCACAGGCAGTCCAGGGCCTGGGCCGCCTCCTGCCGGGCCTCGTCCAGTTCCCTCCTCACGGCCGCCAACGTACGCCTGGAGGGCTCTGATTGGTCAGAAGCACCATTGTGGACAAAATCAACATCCAAGTCCAGAACCAAAAAAACAAAACAAAAAACACAAAATCACTTCAACTAAAAAGAATAGGCTGAAAAAAGGAGGCTTCCTGAGTTAGAGGTGATTTCGATCACATCTCATAATCCCAATACGATTATTTGAAACAAGCTTGAATGGTTTGTGGTTCTAATAACACTCTGGCTTGAACATGACCACGTCAGTGGACAAACAACACGGGAGGAAATTGTTAAAGCTCCACAAAACAAACACTCAGAGACTGTTTCCAGACAAAAATAAAAATGTTTTTTTTTAAAACAAATGCATAAATTAAACTCCTAGTACCCTTAGGGAGGGACATTTATCAATATGTGAGGAAGAGGGATTTTATTCATATCAAGTATTTAAACCAGACTACAACTACAACTACAAAAGGATGATAAGGGGCACATGCAAATCTTCAATACAGCATATAGTCGACACGACAAAAAAAAAATACACAAAAAAAGAACAGCAGACCTGACGCAAATGAGGGCTCTGAGCTCTCTGAGTGCTCTTCCTCCTCCTCTTCCTCGTCGCCATGATCTCCGCACGCCGGAGGTCGGAGGCTGTCCAGCTCCAGGAGGGCGTCGTTGAGCCTCCTGGCCACGTCGGCCCTTTCCCTGGCCAGCTGCTCGCACTGCAGCCCGAGGGTGACCTGCACCTCCTCCAGCTCGGAGCGGGGCACGCACTTCCTCATCTGGGCCTCCATCTCACCCAGACGCTCCTGGAGACGCCGGACCTGATCTCCGTCTCTGGCCGCCGCCTCGTTCCCCAGGGCCGCCTCCAGCTCGGCGACCCTGTCCCGAAGGGAGCTAACCGTTTCCTCGTCCCCTTCCGCCTCCCGTCCAGATCCCTTCTGGGTCAGAGCGGCCTGGAGTTCCTTCACTTTCTCGGTCAGCCGACTGACCGTCTCATCTTCTACCTTCGCTTGGTTTTCGCGAAGTTCCTCCTCCAGCTGCATCACCCTGGCTCTCAGCTGCTTCACCTCTAGGCTCGGATCCCCCCCTTCGTCGCAGTCCACGGAAAGCACCCCGAGACGCATCTGCTCCTTTAGCTCCTCCAGCTCTGACCGGGAGGAAACCAACTCCTCCTCCAGTCCAACCAGCTTCTCCTTCAGAGCCATCGTGCTGGCTTCATCCTCAAACTTCTCACTTCCTCTGTAAAGCAGGACATGTCGAATCAAAAGGATGAAAAAAGGCCAAACGTATCATACGTACATTTTAATCAACGTAGCGCAGCTTTAGTTAAATCGAATAGTCTTACTGGTCCCCAGCTACACTGGAGGCCTCCTCTAAGGCCCGGGCCTGAGAGAGACGGTCCTGGAGAGCTTCGAATTCCTTTCTGAGGGTCTCATACTGAACAAGGGGAACAGAGACTGAACTGGCGGCCTGCATGTCTGTGTCATCCTTCTCAAATGTCTCCAGCATCTGTATACAATAGAAATGCAATTACAGAGACATTCGGTAACATGCACTGTCAGTAAATGATGATTTTAAGGAATTTTCAAATCCTCTGTGTACAATACACACAGTTGGAGTGCTTGGCTTAGTAATATGTGGACTGCAACTATCATTTACCTAGCCAGCTAATTAACAGTTCAATTCAAATACATTTTTTATAGCAAAATCCTTATTAATAAACAATAGGATTTATCTTTTTTATTTGATTTTAATTACAACACATTCATTTCATGCCAGATTTTTTCATAATATACATTCTCTTTTAACAACAAGCTAAAAGACAAACATTTGTTGTTGTATCGGAATAATTTATTTCAGAAGAGGTGTATGATCTCTATATAATTGTATTCTACACTGAAAAATTATCCTGACAGGAGGTTTGTTTCCCCATTTACGTCAGATTCCGTCTATTCAACCCCCTATTAGATTTAAAACGTATGAGTTCCCTGCGAGTCCTTTCATCACCTGTATGAACACAGTTGGCTAATTGTGTTTAAGTCCCTTTAAGTGGTCAGTACAAATGGTTTGCTGAGGGGAAACTCAGTTTTTCGTGAAACAGAATCTTCACCCTCTGCAAGAGAACAATTTAAAGATCGCTTCAATTTAGATTTATCTGTGATGAAGAGGTTGTGGAGGTGTGGTAGGTTTGTTTTTGTCATATTTACAGTGCCTAAAATCAGGTGCACGGGTGCTTTTTATGGCATATATATATATATATTATAAGGAAGTTTTTCCTTGCCTGTGTCGCCTAGTGCTTGCTCATGGTGGGAATTGTTGGGTTTCTGTAATTAACTTCCTGCTCTGTTTGGAAAGCATTGTGAGACAACTGTTGTTGTGATGTGGCGCTATATTAATAAAATTGAATTGAATTGAATATATATATATATAGTAAACAGTAAAATGACATTTACATTTTGTGCTATTTGGCCTTACCTGTACTTTAAGCATGAGTTCTAAGTTCTGGGAAGTGAGTTCCTCTATTTGTTTACGCAGCTCAGAAACCGTTCCTGGCTCTGCAGAAGGGCCGATAGTTTTAGAGGCGGCCTCATCCTGGGCATCAGTGTCTCTGGAGTGTTTAGAAAGAAGCTTTGCTGGAATGGAGAGTTCATGACAGTCAACAGAAACCTCCATACCTCCTCACGTGACAGATGCAGGAATGTAAAAATGGTACAGTATAGCAAAAAATGGTAGAACGTGTGTTCTATGTTAGGGAGTGAAGAGTTCACAAATACAAGGGCTCAATACCTGGGAAGTCCAGCATTTCATCCATGTCCTCAGAATCACTGGCCCCCATTCCATGCCCCCCCTTCAGCGCTTCCAGTAACCTATCCCTCTCTGCCTCCGCCTCCTGCAGATGCTGTTTTAGCTGATGCAGCTGTTGCACACACGGGAAAATGACGATTATCTCCCTTTACCACCACACAAGCATCTGTAACATAGCAGCACTAACAACTATCTTCTAGTTCAAACGAAATGTGTTGATTTATACAGAAGTATCGGTGAGGAGGGCAGGGTTAGGGCAACTGTCTACAGTCCCGTACCTCCTCCAGAGCGGAGAGGGCACTCTGCTGCTGCTGTTCCAAGGCTTTGATTTTCTGAAGCAGCTGGCCTCTTTCCAGACGCAGCCGTCGGATCTCTTCAAACACTTCTTCGTCCTCTGTCTTGACCAGACAACCGTACAATACAATTATACGTCAATACGGCATGTAAAATGTAGAAAAAGGAAAAAAAACACACACACAAAATTCACATTAGTGACCTGGACTAATCGCTGAGGCAGAGGAGAAGCCTTCTGGGGTTCAGGACTCCGAGGCTGGATCTTTGTGATTCAAAAGAAGATAGAAAACTATAAACAAAAACTCATTTTTGAACTTTTTGGTTCAAACTTTTGGATCAGACTAGACATGCTTTATGTATCTGAGCTACATTTCATATAAAAACAGAAGAGTAATTGTCTGTTTTGTAAGTTTGCAATGTAAATTGCTACGAAGCTCGACTTTTCACACTGTGTTGCTACTTTTGGGTACCTGGATGGGAGAGGGGGGCGGCGGAGGAGCTTTCCGTTTACGGGGTGTAGTCCCACCTTGCACTGACGAATTGCCTGAGGGAGTTTGAGGGGGCTGTGTGGGGGTACGAGGGAGGGGGGGATCACTGTTAAGCAAGGGGTCAAGCTCAACTTCAAAATGAAAATGGAGGAAAACAAAATAAGCAGCAAAGAGAGGAGAAAGCCAACAAAAAAAGTAAGCAGGACACACTGAGCTCATATTGGAAAAACATGCACAATATGAGCAGCCAAAATGAGTCGTGATCTCACTTATGGACAGAGTGATAGCATTACCTCTTCGCTTGGACCTTCAGAGGCTATGCACGCATTGGGAAGATGACACAAAATACAAATTTCAAAGCACTTTAGCAAAGTTAACAACAACAAAAGCCTATATGCATACGACATTTATATACTTCCCCTTCTAATTATAGTTTAACTCTAATAGTAAATTATCTCCCAATCTAAGAATAAAACAAAACAGAAACTTACTTTTTTTGTTTTAAGTCTATAATTGGCCTTTTAACAAAATATGTAAAAAGAAAAAACAGAAATACATTTTTAATATTAATAATTTATTACTATGCAATAGGTCAAGATTTTTTTTGTGTAATCTTCTGCCCCCTGCTTACAGGTATATCTGATTGTGTACATTAGGATTTTAAACAAAGTTTTTACCATTAAATTATCCAAAAGGTGTCAGACGCAAAACATTTCAGAAACCTTATGTATCAAATATGATACGTTTGGCATTATAGGGTTAAAAAAGTATCTAAAAAAACAAAAACAAATGTGGTCAGGCATGTTGGCATAAAATCGTTTCCCTCATGTTGGCAGACCAGTTTGCACATCTGCCCTTCATAAATCAGCAAAGTCTTTGTTTGGACATCAACAATTTGTTAGGCTCCATTTACAAACACACCAAGCTGTCCTTATGATCTACTCCTTCCTCTTACTGGGACATCAAGAATTCGCTGACATTTTCACCGACTTATTTTTGAGAACATTAAACGTTCCAAACAGCTGCACTGATTTAAATTCTATCCGTGCTTCCGGGACTGAAGCAAGTGGAAAATTCGTTCTCATTGAAACCAGGAATACCCTGATACAGTACCTGGTGGTACTCCGTCCTGTAACATCCGGACGATGCGCTGGCTTCCTGTCGCGCAGTAGTCGGCGGCTTTTTGGCCCAGAGAGTCATCCAGCTGTGCGTCGGCCCCGCCCCTCAGGAGAGCCTCCACGGTCTCGATGCTGTCACTCTCACAGGCGAGCATCAGGGCCGACCTGTTAGTTAAGAAACGACGACGGCAACGCAATTTTCCATTAACGAACGTGTAGGTTCGTGAGCTATTGCAATGCGCGATTCAAGGGTTTGACTATTTTGCAAGGTAGCTTCTTTGGCATGTCAATCACTGAAAGCATTTTTTTTTTATTTGATGAAGGATTGCAAATATTCTAATCAGGCTGTTTACTGCTTTCTTTCATGTTATCCGGGAAACACTTCTCTAATTATCCTCTGTAAGCTGCTTTCTAGAGCCAAGCTAAAGCTGGGGCACCCAGCTGGAAATCCTGACCTGCATTTTTCTAAATTTCGAGTGAATACTCTGAAGGGAATTCCATCTTCATTCTAAAATCCAACCCTAACGCATTCATGAAAATGCTTTCATTGTGTTGTTTTTTAACTGCAATCGGACAAAAAGGCCTCTGGTTTCGCTCATCTCCAAGAGTTTGTATCACCAAGCTCTGAGATGTCTCTGGGGAATTCTTAGAAAAAAAGTTCAGCACCTTCCTTGGTTGTCTCGTGTGTTTGCGTTGGCACCTCGACCCAACAGAAAGACGCACAGCTCCACTCTGCTCATCTGGGCCGCTAAGATGAGCGGCGTGGCCCCGTCCTGTGGGATAAGCCATCGTCAAAACATCCCCAAAAAGCGTTGTTTGGCATTTAAACGACCACCTCAATCAGCCACAACAGAAGCAGCAAACCAGGTGTCACATATCGGGTCAAGTTTTCCATCTTACACTGTCCCTGACGTCCAGGTTAGCTTTAAAGTCCCACAGAGTCTCGGTGCAGGACAAACAGCCACTGATTGCTGTGTTGGAAATATAGTTTGTTAAAATGTCTCAGTTTTACAACATTTGTGATCACACATAACATTGAAATGGTCACAATGAGATCTTTAAAAGAGATGTAATATTGTAAAACCGTAGCTGTTACCTGCATAATGAAGTGCTGTCCTTCCAAAGCTGTCAACACAATCTACTGCCAGTTTCTCCTGTCAGAAGGGACACGGCACACAATTTTCTCATTAACTCGTTGACTGCCAAAGACGTCTATAGACCTCTTTTATGTTTTTCGACGAGAGTGGCTGGGGGACGATCTGCTAAAGCTTGTCCGTAAATATCAGGCTTCTAGACAGAGTATGTAGTAACAAATTGACCCTCTAGGTGGCAGTGCCACTTTTGATGGGAGATGAGCATAGACTGTAGGCAAATAAGAAAAAGGTAATGGTTCGATACGAGAGAACATGTCGCCGGTGAGACGCAAGTAGAGGAAGTTAAGGCAGCTCATACACAAACAGAGTTTGTGTTGCAATCGCAGTAGTTCGGTTGGTGTCCCTATTTACATAAATGTATTTGTGAATCAATTATTTTGTAATCTAAAACGATTTCTAGATGTTGTTTTTTGCCGTTTTATAGAAGGATACAACTTTTAAGATCTTTGAAGTGTCACTAAAGCCAAAAAAATAGCAACAAAGATACTTCTCTGCTTGAACTGTATCTTTTCACAAAAAGCTTGTTTTCTCCATTTATTGGTCAAAAACTGGTGTTTTTGTTGAAACCAACCTATGTTCTACTGCTGATTACAACAGAACGGAATAAAATAGAAACTAAAAAAAATTTCCTGATGAAAGAAGAGAGTCTACTCTTTCTTTTGGTGTGTTCGGTGTTTACATAGTCTTGAAAAATCAGTCAAAATGCTCAAAAAAACTCTGGCAGTATGGGACTCTCTGTTCTGAAAATGGATGGCAGTCAATGAGTTAATTGTGCATTAAGAAATAGAACAGATGAAGAAATGAGGGCCCGTATTTTCATAACAATCATATCATTACCTGCAATAATACTTTTAAACATTCCGATTGGCCATTTTTGGCTGCCAGGTGAAGGGCACTGAAACCTGGAGATAATCACATTGAAGCAAACCTTTACAACTAATCCAATTCACATCTTTTTTTTTCTTTTACAAAATATTTTGTCTGTTTAAACAAAATCATATCTCACCAGCCCCATCAGTGACGCTTATGTCTGCTCCATGAGAGATGATTACCTCCAGGCAGTCTAGCCGACCCCTGGATACGCTCAGGTGAAAGCTGGAAGATGGAGAAGGACAACAAGTCATTACAGATGAGAAAGGTGGGTGATATTTTTATGTGCCTTCTTTCTGAAGATGAACTCAAACTTTTCATGGGTCAGTTTTTATTCAAGAGAAATAAGACGGCAAATTGTTAACAAAAATATTGAACTTTTTAACCCAGGAGCTGTATTTTTCTTTAATCTTTTGTAGTCTAAATGATAAAAAGCCCCCCAAAAATTAGGGAAATTGTCCCATTCTGCGTAAAAATTACATAAACGTCAGGTGCAAAATTGCTGCAGTGTCATCCATTATGTCATTGAAGTATTAAATTAGGTGCTAAAGCAGAAATATGTGTTATAAACACTGACCTAATTATATCAATATCTTTATTGTATAACAATATTTAAAGAAAAATATTAGGAACTACCTGTGTTAGTGCCTAACATCATGTCGATACTGGACAAGAGGCACAGGGCAAACATGGAGATAAATTAGGCAAAGAGTCAAGTATGCTCACGTTCACTCTTGGGAAAATTTTAGATTCACCAATTAAACTAACGCGCAACTTGAATCTTTGGATGCAAAGAAATCTTTCAATCTATCTAATCTCTGATTGTTAAAAAAAAATTGTTGAACTTATCTTTCATCTGTTTTATTTGCTTTTAATCTCTTTGTAAAGCACTTTGAATTGTCTTTTGCACAAACTGTGCTCTACTAATAAATGTGCTGCACAAAAGTGTTATACAAATCACCTTGTGGACCTTTTGAGTTGAAAACATAGAAAATTACAAGGCCATGTCCATCAATGGTGGGATTTATTTTCCAATTGAGACAAATAGGTTGAACATCACAAATGATACGCTAAAGTTTCACTATATCTCCATCTGAAAAGAGTTAGAACACCTGCATCCAATATCAGACTTGCTTTTTATCCTAACCAGGTAACAGCCATTAGAAGCACTTACGCTGACTTGCCCTCAGCATCCAGCTTTGTGGGACAGAGGCCTTTTTTGACGATGAGGGCAGACACCTTGTCGGGGTCATTCTGCTCCACAGCCAACAACAGCCGTTCATCAGTCTTGCTCCAGTCCTGACTCTGAGGGGAACACACAGGAGAACAGGTCACTACAGGAAATGGAGACCATATTACACAGTTATAATACAAAAACCCAAAAGACAATGCATGAAAATATTATAATACTGTACATTTCTATACATTTATTTAGATAGATAGATAGATAGATAGATAGATAGATAGATAGATAGATAG